TTTGGAATTGGTCCCGTGGCCGCCGGAAGACGGGCAAAAAGCGGGATCCCCCACCGCGACCTCGCGGTTCGTGAGGATACGAGGGCAGGACGCCTTCGACATCATAAAGTTATGCAGGACACTTCACGAAAACGAAAAGCTCACGAATCTGACGACTGCCAAAGTCGAAAAAGCTTTGGCTCCTTGGAATGCCACGGCACATTCCATAAAACGGGGTGCGTTGCGGCACGCGGCTCAAATCGTGGAGGCGTACAATTTGAACCCACACGTGATTTCGCAGTTGGCGAAGCACGTCGACCCGTTCGACCTTCCCCAGAATACGGTTCGATATTTGGGGAGATACACCACAATGCTGACCCAGGTGTCGTCGCTGGTCGCATTGATGTGAAGGGAGACACTGCGGACGGGCAGGAACCCTGGCTGAGAGCGGAGGAGCGTTTTTTCCATGATTTTAATCATCATGCCGCTACAATAACAAGACGCGCGACAAGGACGCGTCTGGCCACTCCACAAGATGAACACGCTATCCCGTTACAGCAAGTCAACGTGCCCGTGTTGAACCTAGAGTGGATCATGAGTCGGTTGAACCCGGCTACCTTGGAGAGGCTCATACAAGTTTGGGGACTCGTCGGGCGGTCCCCTCTCCTTCCGTCTTCTTCCGGTAAAGCGCGCGAAGGCTCACGGAGGATTCCAACCGCTGATGCGCATTTGTTACGAAAAGCAGGAATTATCGAGGACGCTTCGTCCGCAATAACAAGCGGATGGATAATACCTTTTTCGGTTGTGGAGGAGAAAACCACCGGTTTACGACGACGATGGATCGCGTGGCCACGCGACAAGAACAGAGACGATCCTTCTGAGGCTCATGTTCCTCTTTTGCACATTTCCCATTATTTGCCACCTGTGATGGCTGAGGCCGCTTCCTGCCTGGATTTAAAGGCATCCTTTTTTCAAGTCTCTTTACCGCGGGAGACTCGGCATCTCTTTCGATGCCGCGTGGAGGACGGCACGCTGGTGGAGCTTACACGGCTCCCAATGGGATACAAGGCCAGCCCAGAAATTCTCCAGATTATTACTTCGGCAATCGCGGGGGTGACGACGGTGGTTCACCGCCTCTGGGCTGCACCTCCATTGGTGCGTATCGACGTTTGGATCGATAATATACGCATTTCAGGGTCAAAAAGCGACGTTAAATTGTGGGAAGCCCAAGTGCTTCGTAATGCGGACAGTTGTCACGCATCCATGGGGGAGGAACGCGAATCGGGCGCTACGCATTACACCTTTCTGGGGGTGCAGTTTGATCACACTCACCGGGCGGTGTCCCTGAGTGACGAGTTTGTCCGGTCTGTATGCGCCATGCCGGCGTTCAATTCTCTAACCATCGCGGAAATGGAGGTTATGGCTTCCCGTTTTTTGTACGCGGCTGCCATTTTGGGCACGCGTTTATGTGACTACTACTTTTTTATCAAGGCAGTGCGACGGCGATTATCCGCACTTAACCGGGGAATCGTGCAGGAGACATCCCCGGCGAACCTTCCGCCGTCAGCGGTTGGTTTGGGCGAGAGATTGCGACACATCATCGAGAACAATCGCAAGCGCATCATCAATCCCACTGAAAAGGCATCAGCCGCCATCATCACGGACGCATCGCTCCATGGATGGGGAGCCGTTTTCCTTCCAGACTCCGGCGACGTTAAAATTGCCGGAGGAAAATGGAAGCGGAGGCCTTTTCTTATCATGCAGGCCGAGGCACGCGCGGTACGCTTAGCCTTATCGGCTTTTTCCGCCATCTTGCCATCCACTATGGACGTTTGGGTGGACAACACTTCGCTGCAAGGAGCGGCGAATAAAGGCAGCTCGAAATCGCACGCCATGACGTGGGAGCTGCAACGAATATATGAGTTTTTGGACTCTCGCGGAATACAGGCAACTTTTGGTTACGTGCGGTCTGCAGAAAACCCCGCAGACGGCATATCACGCGGTCGTGTGTTTACACTTCAGGACTTGGCGAATGGGTGGAACTTGCGAAGGGGAGCGGCGGGGTCTTGTGGTTGGAGGACCCCAAAGTCTGCCACTTCGTAAGTAATAATATGTAAATCCTAACTGAGAACTAAGGACCATGCTAGTGGTCCACAGAATTTATATATATTGAATGAAAAGAAAACATTGAAGCAATTAACTAACGAACCTTTTTTCCTAACTTGTTTGGTTTTCATAGATTATTTCAGGATCCGGCCAGCTGCCCAGAAGATTATTCTAGGAGCTTGTGAAAAGAATGATCGCGGGAGAGCTGGCTAACTTAATTAATGTATGTTTACATCCTGATAAATGCAGACATTCTTTATGATACTTTTCTACCGTATGAATCTTTTGGGAAGAACGCGACTTTGTAGGGGCAGGGAGCCGATAGCGGCCAGATAATTTTTTGTTTTTATTTTGCCATCCCACCCACCCCCTTTTGATTCCCACCACGCGGCGGGGTCTTGTGGTTGGAGGACCCCAAAGTCTGCCACTTCGTAAGTAATAATATGTAAATCCTAACTGAGAACTAAGGACCATGCTAGTGGTCCACAGAATTTATATATATTGAATGAAAAGAAAACATTGAAGCAATTAACTAACGAACCTTTTTTCCTAACTTGTTTGGTTTTCATAGATTATTTCAGGATCCGGCCAGCTGCCCAGAAGATTATTCTATATTGTATTGCTTTGTTCTTGCAAATCATTTCCCTTCTTTTGCTTGTTGCTTTAGGGCAACCACTATGGACGTTTTTTTCTTTTCTACTTTTGTTAATTGTTTCTTCTGCACTCTTCCTGTGAGGGGTGCCGTGTGTTTCCCGCCCAACTGCTCCACTCGCACACCCACCGACACGCTCATGACGACGGCCCTGTGCGCCTCGCCTGCTGCACGCATGAGGAGGGGCCGCGACGAACGGCGCGCTGAGGGAGCCGTGACGTGTGGGCGTGCGACGAGGGCCGGTGGGGCGGAGCACACATTTCTTTCCCTCTTGTTTTGTTTTCTTTTTTGCGGCCAGGGCTGGCAGACACCCGCAGCGCCACGCACACAGCCACACCCTGCCGCCGTGTTTTTCTTTAGGGATTTGTTTTGCTTTGCGTGTGTGGACGTGTGTGTTTGCCGCCACCGTGCGTGATTGTTGGGGGGTCGTGGCCGTGCCGCATGTATTTCTGCCATCCAGCTGTGTCTCTTTCTGTGCTGATGATGTGCCTCCCTTTGCTTCTTTTTCTGCTCCAGCACACACACACATAAGTAGTCGCACAGTGCTCTGAAAGAATGTTTTTGGCGACGGCGGGACGTTGAGTTGCGTCCCGTGCTGAAATTGCGAGGCTGCTGCGTGTGTGCCTGCGGTGGGAATTACGGTGCCATTGGATGGATGCGTGTGGGACGCTCTTTGCATTCCGCTGGAGGCCGACTGACGCACCTGCACGATGCCCGCCATGCGTGAGGGTGTTGCCTGCTCTTGGGGTCATTCTTTTCATCCCTCTTTTTTTGATCTGCCGTGTGCGGGCGTCGCTCGGTGTGTGACGAATAATTACGCACCCGCCGTGACTCCTGCTGCTGGTGGTGGTAGTCGCTGTGTGTTCCCGGTGCACTGTTCTTCCTTCTCGTTCCGTGTGTCTGTGTGCGTGAGTTGTTGTTGTTGGGAGTGACTGCGGCGGGATGATGGTGTCACTCTCTGTGGATGGCGGTGCTTATTCTTTCACCCATATTTTATTAGCCTGTTTTTCTTCATTTCTTTCACTCTCTTACGAAGAAAGCAAACAAGCGCTAATCGCTACTGTGAAATTCGAAGGCACTTAAAGTACCAACAGCACCCACACACACATATTTATATGCTCTCACGTGTTGCTGCAGTGAAGGCACCCCGCACACACAACCGTCGCGGCATGACCGGATCCAGCGGAAGGAGGAGGGAAGGAAAAGAGAGTGAGCCGCAGAGGCCCAACATGTTCCGGCGTGTGTTTATTTCCGCGGTGCTGCTTCTCCTCGTCGTGATGATGTGCTGCGGCAGTGGTGGTGCTGCGACTGCTGATGATGGGAAACAGTCATCTCCGGGATCTTCATCGGTGACCTATTTTTATTGGAGAGATATGAAAGAAGGGGAAACGGTGAGTTCGCTCCGTGTTCCAGTTCTTGTTGGTATGGATGGTGAAGTGTTTGCCGTTACCGAGGCGCAGTGCAAGAGAGGCAGTGATTGCGGTTTTGATGGGGTCGCTTCGAAGCTCCTGAAGTTGACTGATCAAAAACCAAAAGAGGTGTTGGATCCTACTCAATTGAAGACACAAGTACTGGAGAAAAGTGGTTCCAGTGATGGGAGTTGCCCCTCCAATGAAGTGAAGGGGGATAACTCCCTACCAACGACGAAGTTACATGTGGGTGGACCAACAACAGTTGTGAGAGGCAGAGATATTTACATGCTTGCTGGAAACTACAGTTGGACCTATGCCTCTACTGGTCAGGCTGCTAATGTTCTATGGGGACTTATTCTGGTGAAAGGGAAAGTCAGTTCTGAAGGCAGCGGCAAAAGAATACACTGGAACGATACTTACGCTCTTCCGTGGGATCACTTTTTTGGCGAAACAAAGGGATCCTTGATGCGGCTGATGGGCAGCGGTGGATCGGGTGTTGGGACGGAGGGCAATACACTTGTGTTCCCAGTGGAAGGTACAAAGAAGAAGGAGAATGGGGGCACTGAAGAGGATGGAAAGACCGTCTCACTGCTCATATACTCCTCGGATACTGTGAGTTGGACGCTGTCGAAGGGGATGTCTGCCGATGGCTGCAGTGATCCCTCCGTCGTGGAGCGGAAGAAGGGGAAACTCATCATGATGACTGCGTGTGATGATGGCCGCCGCAGGGTGTACGAGATCAACGACAAGGGGGATTCGTGGACGGAGGCACTCGAGACACTCTCGCGCGTGTGGGGCAACAAACAAAATCGACACGAGAAGGGCGTTGGGAGCGGGTTAATTGCAGCAAGGATTGGAGAGAGGGACGTGATGCTCGTTACTCTGCCGGTTTATTCCAATGAGAGAGGCAATGGAAAGGGCGTACTTCATCTTTGGCTGACGGACAATACGCACATTGTTGATATTGGGCCGGTATCCGGAGAAGATGACGTTGCCGCCAGCTCCCTGTTTTATAAAAGCGGGAATAATAATGAGGAGTTGATTGCACTGTACGAGAAGAAGGGTGGTGGTCAGCCATCACCCGGTGTTGCCTCTGTGCTTCTAACTGCGCAGCTGAAGCGGGTGAAGGAGGTGCTGGCGACCTGGAGGGAAGTGGACAAACGTGTCTCCAAGCTGTGCGCCTCTCCAGGTACTGCAAAGGGCACCTCAACTGGCACTGCCTGCAGCACTGTTAGGCTCACGGATGGGCTGGTTGGCTTTTTGTCGGGCAAGTTCTCTGGGAATACATGGAGGGACGAGTACCTCGGGGTGAACGCCACAGTAACGAAAGGAGTGGCATCAGGGCCTGTCGATGGAGTGACGTTTGGAGGCGTCGGAGCAGGAGCGCAGTGGCCTGTTGGCAAGCAGGGGCAGAATCAGCTGTACCACTTTGCGAACTCTGTTTTCACTCTTGTGGCGACGGTGTCTATTCACGAGGCGCCGGAGAGCGGCAGCGTTCCTTTGCTGGGTGCGAGGATGAACGACGATGGGAAGACTGTACTCCTGGGACTGTCGTACAACAATGAAAAGAAGTGGGAATTGTTGTTCAGTGGCGGAACGACCAAGGAGCACAGCAGCACTTGGGAGCCAGAGAAAACGTACCAAGTGGCCATTGTGCTACAGAACGGCAACCAGGGCTCCGCGTACATCGATGGCCAACATGTGGGGAATGCGCAATTTGAATTGAAAAATACGGGGTCGAAAGGAATCTCCCACTTCTACATTGGAGGGGATGGAGGCAGCACAGGGAGCCAAGAAGTCTCTGTGACTGTGACGAACGTCATGCTGTACAACCGTCCGTTGAGTGCCGCGGAGATTGGTGTGCTGAACGCCAACAAACCCACTATTCCAAAGATACTACACTCGAAAACAGTCGCGGCAGGAGCAACGGGTGTCGGTACCGCTCGCCACTTTGGGGCAAATGGTGATGGCAGCACTGTTTGCGGAGGCGGACTGCTGCCGCTGCTCCTTCTGCTTGGATTGTGGGGGATTGCCGCTTCTTGAGGTGTGTGTGGCCTCTGCGTGGAACACCTCAGCCCTTCCCCACCACCGACGCACACACCCCTGGTAGTGGATTACTCTCCGTAAAGGAAAATTTTCATGTTTTTTTTTTAACTTTTTTGTGCGTGTTTTTTCTCTAATCTCTCATCCCTTTTTTTGCTTGTTGTCTTGGGGCAATCAATATGGACGGTTTTTTCTTTTCTACTCTTCCCTCTTTTAATTGTTTCTTCTGCACTCTTCCCGTGAGGGGTGCCGTGTGTTTCCCGCCCAACCGCTCCACCCGCACAGCCACCGACACGCTCATGACGACGGCCCTGTGCGCCTCGCCTGCTGCACGCATGAGGAGGGGCCGCGACGAACGGCGCGCTGAGGGAGCCGTGACGTGTGGGCGTGCGACGAGGGCCGGTGGGGCGGAGCACACATTTCTTTTCCTTTTGTTTTGTTTTCTTTTTTGCGGCCAGGGCTGGCAGACACCCGCAGCGCCACACACACAGCCACACCCTGCCGCCGTGTTTTTCTTTTTATTCGATGGGTGTGTTTGCTGCCACCGTGCGCGGTGGTTGAGGTTGTGGCCGTACCGCATGTGTCGCTGCCATCCTGCTGTGTCTCTTGCTGTGCTGACGATGTGCCTCCCTTTGCTCTTCACTCCCCCTCTTGCACACACACATATATGCTCTCACGTGTTGCTGCAGTGAAGGCACCCCGCACACACAACCGTCGCCGCGTGACCGGATCCAGCGGAAGGAGGAGGGAGGGAAGAGAGAGTGAGCCGCAGAGGCCCAACATGTCTCTGCGTGTGTTTACTTCCGCGGTACTCCTCCTCCTCGTCGTGATGATGTGCTGCGGCACCGATGGAGCTGGGGAAGCTGAGGAAAGTAATTCGGTGCAGCTCATTGATCAATTTGAAGGGATGATAATTATTTCTTCTGCTAAATAGGGCGAAGGTAAAAATGACGTGGAAGTTACGTTGCTTCGTGCTTCCAGCTTTGTGAGTGTGAAGGGCGGTGTGTTTGCCATTGCTGGGGTTCAGTGCAGGGCAGAAGGCGGAGTCAGCGGCTGTGATGGGATTATGGCGAGGCGGCCGAATTTAAGTGGTGGTCCAATGGAGATCTCGATGGCGGACAATAGTGTCCCTTTTGCGCAATTTCTGGGGGGTGTTGCTACTACGGATGGTAAGGAGGCAACGGAGATAATGCGGCCCACAACAGTTGTGAGTGGTGGCAACATCTACATGCCTCTTGGGGACTACGGCAAAACAAATTTGGACACACAACCGGCTGACGCAAGCAACTGGGGCCTTTTGCTTGTGAGGGGGACCGTCACTGGAGAGGGTGAGAGCAAGAAGATCCGATGGAGTGGGACCCATGCGGTTAAACCCGATGCCGGAGGTCGCACTAACTCCCTGAGGAATTTGAATAGTGGAGGAGTTTTGGGTGTTGCGTTTCCCGGCGGCACGATTGTGTTTCCCCTGCAGGCCACAGACGGGGATGGAAAGAGTGTTTTGCTCGCCATGCAGTTCACTTCGTCGGATAATAAATGGAGGCTTTCGTATGGCACGACTGGCAGGGGCTGCAGGGATCTATCCGTTGTGGAGTGGGTGGCTGGCAAAAAACTTATTCTGATGTCTTCTTGTGAGGATGGCCAGCACCAACGGTGCATGTCCGATGGGCATGGGACGAGTTGGTATCCAAATTGAATGCCGATTAATCGCGTGTGGGGCAACTCACATGATAGAAAAGGGTACGGAGTGCAGAGTGGATCCACCACCGCAGTCATTGCGGGCGAGAAGGTGATGCTCGCCGCCCTGCCCGCGTATTCTAAGGACAATGAAAAGGGTCGGCTCCATCTTTGGGTGACGAGCAGTGTGCGTGTGCACGATGTTGGTCCGATATCCCGTGAGGGTGACGACGCTGCCGCCAGCTCCCTGTTGGTGAAAGGGAATAATGACGACTTGATTTCGCTGTGCGAGAACAAAAAGAGGAGCGAGGACGGATCAGACGGTCATGTTGCAGTGCGCGTGGCGGCGGGGCTGGAGCGGGTAAAGGAGGTGGCGAAGAAATGGTCAGATTTGGACAGCGCTCTGCAATGATGCAGTTGTACTGCCAAGGTTGGCTGGGCGGCGGCAAATGGCATGTGCACTGGTCCTGTTCCCACCAAAGGGCTGGTTGCCTTTTTGTCCGGCAGCTCAACTGAGACCGAGTGGCGGGACGAGTACCTCGGCGTGGGCGCAATAATAAAGAATACGGCAGCGGCTGTTAATGGAGTGACGCTCAAAGGCGCCGGAGCAGGAGCACAGTGGCCGGTCGACATGAATGGGCCGACTGTGCCGCACCACTTTGCAAACAGGGAGTTCACTCTTGCGGCGGCGGTGTCGATTCACGAGGTGCCGGAGAGCGGCAACGTCCCTTTGGTGGGTGTGGGGATGAGCGACCCCAACAGCACGGTGCTCTTTGGCATTTCGTACACCCACGAAAAGAAGAGGAGCTCCATGACTCCTAGTGACGCTAACCCTGACAAGCCTGCTCTTTTTGACTGGAAACCAAACACGACGTATCAAGTGACGTTTGAAATGAATACGGATGGATGTTGCGTGTTTGTGGATGGGAGGGGATTGTACATGAAGAAGGCGTAAGAGGAAAGCTTTGAAACCCTGCTGGAGAAACACAGGATCTCATACTTCTTTATTGGCTGGGGCAGTGCGAGAGGCACGGAGAGCGGCCATATGACGGCGAACAACGTTATTCTGTACAACCGTACGGTGTATGGTGAAGGGTTGGAGCGACTCAACGCAAGCACAGTCCCTATTCCACAATCGGATGTTGCTAAACAGCAGAGGAAGCACGAGGGTGATCCGAGTTCTGGCGACAGCACCGTCCATTTGTCTGTGTCCCCGGTGCTACTACTGCCTGCTTTGGTGCTGCAACTGTGGGGCATGACGGCTCTGTGCTGAAGAAGGCATGGGGGGTGGAGTTGTGACTCCCCGTGGGGAAAAAACTGTTCAGCTTTCCAGCAGCACTCACCGCGTTTTGCCAGTGTTTTCATTTTCCTTTTATTTTGTTGTTGTTTTTTTGGTGCAGGTGCTTTGTTGGGTTAATATGCACCTTCGTGTGTTTTGTTTGCTTTTCTGACATTTTTTCAAAATCCCTTATCCCTCAATGTCCGCTTAACAGACATACCGTCATGGGTGACGAGTTTCTTCCTTTTGTTTGCTTCTGCCACCCACACGCGGTGCCGGCCTCATTGCTGTGCGTCCCACGGAATGCAGAAAACGAGGAGCGGAGGAGCAGGCCGGATGCCGCATGAAATGTGAGGGATGTTGTGTGGGCTGGTGGAGGAATGCGATGTGTTTTTTTTTTTTTTTTTTTGTTTCTGCTTGCAACATATGTGGACACTTATCCCCCCTGTGTTTTGGGACACGTGAAACGAAAAGTTTTGCTGAGAGATGTTTCTTTTCTTTTTTTTTTTTTTTTTTTACTGCTTCTTTTGCTTGTGGTCTTAAGTTGCGGAGAGGTGTGGGTGCGGCGGAGCAGCAACGAAGAGGGCAGTTGGAACATAATATTTTAGGTACGAAGGGAGTGGAGGGGAGTGTAACGGAGGCAGCATTAAAGAGGAATAGAGAAGGAATGAAGGCGTCTGTGTGTGGAATGCATTCCGTGGGGAAGAGGTGTGGTGTAAACGAGGACAGCGGAAGGGTTCAGGATGATACGACGTGCATGGTGGGTCAAGAGCTGAATAACGGCGTGGTTCAGAGGGAGGAAGAATCTGCAGATGTGCAGTTGTCACTCTCATTTTCAGAAATGCGTGTTGGGACCCACACAGAGTATGTGGATTCTTTGATGCGGAACGCCACTTCTACATTGTCGGTTTTTGGCGGTGGCACAACATTGGGAGTTAGTACGGACACTGAAAATGGTGCAGGGAACAAGGACGCCGATTACCAACCACTCCGATTGCAGATGGCGTGGGATGGAGGTGTTTGCATGTCTCAGGTGGATGGCGTTTGTGTTATGTTGCCGGCGGAAGAAGCACAGGCGGAGGATGCGCACTTTGCTGCCCCTCATGCCAATTCCATCGACTCTGAACGCTGTCCGCTCGGATGCGATGAAAACAGTTCTGCAACAAGTTGGATGTTACGACAGAGGAGGCTACAGAATAGGGCAGAGCAATGGCGGCGGCACGAGGAGGAGTTGTGGCGACGAAGGTACGAGCAGTCTATTTCTCAGAATTGTGCGGCGACAATTGTGAAAGTCCCCCAATTGACCGAGACGACGGCCTTACAGAGTCACAATGATGATGTGCATCTGGGAACCGACGAGAGTGGTGAATTTGACGGCGATGCAGGCGGCTGTGATGATAGTACAGAGCCGCAAGCTAAACGTTTCAGCACGGCAAATGGCAGGCGACTGCGCCGATACCGTCCGGAACCCATAAAAAGTGAAGATGATGACGTGGCCATTCCTCTTTGGCAAAAGTCTACATGTAGGAGAAACCCCTGATGCTGCTTGAGGTCTTGTTGTTGTTGTTTTTCTCTTTTTTTTTTTTTTTTTTTTGTTAAACATAAATACAAATATATATATATTTATGGAAAATGGTGCTTTGTCCACAATTATACTTGCGAGCAGAAACCCTGGAGGTGTCATCAGTGTGCATGAAGCAGCCGCCTGCGATAAAGCCATGCCATGATGACGTTTGGAGGAAGCCACCTCCGTCGTTCTATTATTATTATTATTATTATTATTATTGGCTTCTGGTTGAGGTTTCATTTATTTGTTAGTGTTGTTGGTAAAGCTGGAGTGGTTTCTTATATGTAACGATGGTTTTTTTGTTGTTGTTTGTTTGTTTGTTTGTTTTCCTTTTTTTTTTTTTTTTTCTTGCTTTCACTATTCTCTACTTGCCGTTGTTGAGTGAAGGGGGGGCATTTTTGTCCTGTGGCTTCCCCTCCCATTTCCCCACACAACAAATCCCCATTCCCGCAGGAATTG